ATTGGAGTATATTGTTAAGGAGATTTGGAGAATACTGTTTATACTGTTCACATCATTTAATATATACAGGGTTAGCCCGAAATTGCTTCTTTTAATAAAGCAAAAGCGTAAATTCATGATTTTGGCATAACACGCAAAAAAGATATATACCCAGTGGGTATTACCCACCCATGTTTTTTTAGATATTTTTATGTTTATCAGGCCACAAAATGGGATTCTTATCAAGACTTTATAAGAAACATTGATTTTGAATAAAATTAAATAAAATAAAGTTTTTTGGAGATAAATCTGTTTTGTGCATTATGCATTTTACTATATAAAAACGTGATTTTTGGCTAACCCTGTATAAATCTAATGATGTGCTCAGTATGAAAACAGTATTCTCCAAGTCTCGTTAACAATATACTCCAATATTATAAAAATCGGTGTACAAATGTGTACTCTGTCAAAGGTAAGATAAACAAAAATTAAAAAAAAAATTAAGAATTTTCAAAAAATTTCGAAAAGAGGAGCAGCTAGGATTTTGGTAAATATCATTTTAAAGTTACCAAAGGGTCTCGAACAAGAAACTGCAATCAATAAAAATCGGTGTACAAATGTGTACTCTGGCAAAGGTAGACTTTGCGATAAACAAATAATTAAAAAAAAAATGATTTTTTAACAAATTTAAAGAGAAGAAGTTAGAATTTTGGTAAATATCGTTTTTAAATCTCCAAAGAGTGCCGATCAATAAACTTTAACCAGTTTTTCGTTCAAAATTGAAAACTTCTAAAAAGCCTAAATTAAGTTAAGTGGAAGAACAGATGTTTTCTTTTAAACACGTTGAACTTCGCCGTTTGAAATTATAAAATGTTTCAATAAAGACTTATATTATTATTAAACAACATTTTAAATATTCTCTAAGCGTTATTTTATTTAATTTTATTAAAAATCTATTTTTTTAATAAAAGGTTAATAAGAATGCCATTTTGTAACCTAATAAACGTAGAAATATCTAAAAAAAAATGGGGATACATCTGTTTTGCGTGTTATGCCAAAATCATGAATTTACGCTTTTGCTTTATTAAAAATAAGCGATTTTTGGCTCACCCTGTATATATCAAATTATGTGAACAGTATTAAAAAGTATTCTTTAAGTCTCCTCAATAATATACTCTAATTTTATAAAAATCGGTGTACAAATGTGTACTCTGTCAAAGGTAGACTTTGAAATAAACAAAAAGTTAAAAAAAAATCATAAATTTTCAAAAAATTTCGAAAAGAGGATCAGCTAGGATTTTGGTAAATATTATTTTTAATTCACCAAAGGGTCCCGAACAAGAAACTGCAATCAGTTTTTGGCGGCATTTTTATGTGACTTAAACTTCGTTCAGGCACACCGTGAGGTAGAAGAAACCTTTTATAATACTAATATTATTAGTTTAAATTTAAGTTTAAGAGAACACAATGTCATAAAAAAATGTCTGCTTTTAAAATTAATCGAGTTGACCAATATAAAATCTATCGTAAAAATCATATTCATAAAAGGATTTTTGAATTGAAACAGCCAGTGACAAAACAACAAACAATATTAAATAAAAAAATTACATATTATAAATTAATTCTTGATTTACCTAATAAAAATTCAAATATAAAGAAACTTGTCTAGACTTGTTGTTTTAGACTGATGGATGGTTGAATGGCTTTAATAGTAGAAAAGGTAAATATATTAAATACTTTTAAAATTTTATTTACTTTGCAGTAAACTTTTGTACGTTCAACAACTAAAACTGTTTTTGTAGTGCTTGTATGAATAACCTTTATTTTTGTAACGGAAACGCTTTTACCCTGAGAGTGTTGGAATAATAGAAAACCAAAATGGGATATTTGAAATTTTTCGAAATTCAGTTCCTGAAGATAATATTTTTCCAGATTTAGTTAAGAAAGAAAAAGTGCATCACCCTAAATTTATGTTAAATCAAAATCGATTGGATTCATTTGAATATTGGAATCAAAAACCTCATGAAATGGCTAGTGCAGGATTTTTTTACGTTGGTTTAGGAGATCATCGTATTTGCTTTCAATGTGGTCTAATTTTAAAGGATTGGATTGAAACTGATGATCCTTGGGAAGAACATGCTGTGTTTGGTGAAAAATGTACTTTTTTACAATTAAAATTGGGTAAAGATTATATTAAAAAATTAAGAGAAGAATATATTAATGATTTTTGTGGTTCAATGCATGATTGACCAACACCGCCTCAGGCATCTTGTTCAGCAGAAAAACAAAAACAAGTAGAACAATCCACAACAATTAATAATTTACGTTCGAGAACTCCAAGTCAGGCAGAAGAAGAAGAAGAAGAAGAAGGAGAAAGTATTGAAAACAGTGAAGATATAAATTTATGTAAAATATGTTATAAAAATGGAAGATCTATTGTTTTTTTTTACCATGTAAGCATACAGTTACTTGTGTAGATTGTTCAATTTCACTAAATAATTGTCCTCTTTTGTAGAGTTACTTTTGTAGCAAGTTTAAAAAGTTATTAATCCTAAAAAAAATATTTAATTTGTTTAAATAATACATTTTATACATACCTGTACTTTTTACTTTTTTTTATAAATATATTAATATTTTTAAAACATTGTTTTATTTTTTTTATATAAATTAAATAAAAAAAAAATTTCTTTTTCTTCTGGAATCAAGATATTTTCCGGGTTCTTAATTTGTTCTTTCAATGTAAAGAAAGAAAAATTATCCATGCTGTTATACCATTCCTCTTCTAAATAATGCAAGTCTTGAAATGGAGTAGTGGATTGAAAACATTGTACTAACCATTTAATATCTTGAATACTTAAAGGTTTAGCAATATTGTAAGCAATATAATAAACAGAATTTTTTTATGCTGTTGTTGCAACGTCTAAAACTTAACAAACTGTAACCGTCATTTTGACAGTTACCCATTTATTTTTGTCATAATAGCCATGATTTAACAAATACTTGTCAGACAGATGTCAACGTGTTCTCTAATATTGTTGTTTAATAAACTATGTTTAACGTGTACAGGGTGTCCCAAATTGGTTGTCCGTATAGGCTATCTCAGTAAATATAAATGCTAGAAAAAATTCGACCACGCATCCCCGTCGTCTTTTTTAAAGATACATCGGATGATGTCTTTGAATTTTCTCGATTCGCATTTGTTTAGGAGATATACCAATTTTTTCAATTTTTGCCAATTTTGCCAAATGCTTGTAGCTTCGTTAATATTTGAGTTACGAATACAGGTTTAAAATATTATGTAGACACTTTTTATCACAGAATTCATTAGTGTCGACAGATTTTTTTTAGCTCTTTTAGGTTAAGAGATATGACCCTATACGGACAACCAATTTGGGACACACTTTACAGTGTATTAATTAAAGTAATATAACAACTACACTGAAAGAAATATATACTAAAGTTAAATAAAAAAATAATTAGGGCAAATATATTTTATGTTTCATTTATGGACTACCACATACATTGCTAAAACAAATATATTCGTTTGGTTAGCAGCCTATTGCTGCCCTAGCAATATAAATGTGTTTCTAGCAATATTTTTTTGCTGTAATTCACTTATAGTTTACATTTTATAGTAAGGGTAAGTTTATTTTTATTTAGATCTAACATATCTTCTTTACAATAAATGTATTACAAAATTTAACATACATTCATAATAAACAGTAGTATAAATGTGTAAAGCACTAGTATAAAATTTTTAGTATAAATTTGTATTTACTTTTAGCAACAAATTTCTTTCAGTGTATATTACGACATGGCGCAGTAGAGGTACTAGAAGAAGAAAGACAAGAGTTCAAAATATGGAGGGTGGAATACCAGATATTTTGAAATTTGAAGGCAATGTAGCTGATAATTATAATAAATGTATGCAAGCTTTTGAGATATATTTAGAAGCCACTGGAAAAGACAGTAAAACAGATTCAGTTAAGGTAGCAATCCAGTTAAATTTAATTGGACAAGAAGGCATCGATGTGTACAATACATTTAAATTAGATGACACAGAAAAGAGGGACTATAAAAAAGAAGTGGCAGAATTTAAAAAATACTGCTTACCAAATTCAAACAAAATATACATGAGAGGTTTGTGTTTAATAAGCGAAGTCAGAAGGAGAATGAACCTTTGAGCACTTTTATGGGGATTTAAAAAAACTAATAAAGTCATGTAAGTACGGAGACCAAGAGGATTCAGTCCTAACAGATAAAATAGTGTTGGGAATAAGAGACCTTGAAGTACAGGAGAAATTATTAAATGTGGAAGACTTAAAACTTGATAGAGCAGCAGAAATTTGCATAAATGCCGAAATAACTAAGGAACAAATCAAAATAGTAACAGATGGTGAAAAAGTTGAAATAAATGCGGTTTTAAGTGTAAATAAAAATTATTCAAGGAAAGAAACAGTTTCTTAAAATAAAAATTATGTAACAAATAAACCAGGTGTTAAGGAGAAAAAACCATGTTTAAAATGTAGAGAACTAAAACTAAATTACCTTTATTATTAAGTAAACCGGAAAACTTAAAAAATTACAATGAAGGTTTAGAAAGAAAACGGGAATTATATAAAAAATATTATGATAGAAAGGCAATGGAAAAAGAAGACCTTAAAGAGGGTGAAGTAAAGGGAAAATGGGAACCAGGTACAATCGTTAAAAAATTAGATGAACCAAGGTCTTATGAACTATAGAAACAAGTCTGGGTACTAAACTTAGACGAAACTCAAATCACTTAAGGCAATCACTAAACAAAATAGTTAGAGCGCGTTCAAAGTACTCCAATACCGTTCAGGAAGTATCTGGAGTAGTCTCAGACTAATTATTCTGGCAAGTTCAGCAACACCTAGACTAAATTCCCAGAGCGCGCTCTTTTGTGCTTACTTTATACTGGGTACAAGTGGACAATTTTAGTTATTGAGGTTAGGTGTGTTGTTATTCGGTCATATGTCAAAGGGGATATTACATGTGTAATGGATAACGTAAGTTTATTTTATTAACTGTTTGCTAAATATTCATGTATAATTTATTATAGGAACATATATTTGATAAATGCGGATGTTGCCAGTGGGTTTTTGCTAATAATTGCCAAAATTTCAATGAACATGAATGTGTTTCGACCTTCAATGAAGCAATTCATGAGTTTGTTGCCGACGAGCAGTCTTTCATCTTTATGGGTAAAGTTTTCGTAGTACCTAATTAATGAGTTCTGCTAATAAAGAATTAACCATTACAGTAGAGAAATTACCAGATACGCCTGATGTGTCATTACCAGATACGCCTGATGTTTTATTATCAGATACGTCTGATCTGTTATTAAACCCAAACCTGGGCAAATTAAAGTGGACACATGAAGCAATTATGTGTCTTATTAATTTGTATAAAAAACATCAAAATGACTTCGCTTTAACAAAGTACAAAAACGACAAAGTGTGGGGATGGATCTCCAACGAGCTAAATGCCAATAGTCTTCAATATACTGCCAATCAATGCAAATATTTGAAAGCCAAGTATGTACAAAAAAAAGACAATATGAAATCCACATCTAGTGGTGAAGCTTGTGTGAAGTTTAAGTACTTTAATGAATTAGATGCCATTTTTGGCACAAAACCCAATGTTAAACCAGTTGCTGTGGCCTCGAATCTCGTTCGACGTAAGAGATTAAGAGAGAATCTGACAGTGAGCGACGATATTTTAAGTAATGACTATGAGACTGAAAATGAAACAGGGAACCAAGAGAATAATGCACCAGATGGTCTGACTGATAATAACCCACAGCCCATAAGAAAAAGACTACGACCTTCCGCAAAGTCAAGTATAGAAAGGGTTATACAGGAAATACATGAAAATGCAATCAATCGTGAGATCTCAAGGAGAGAACGACATGAGGAAAATATGATTTTCAAGAGGCAATTATTGGATGATTTTAATCAGAAAATGGATGCACTAATTAATGCTATGAATAAAAATTAATGTTTGTTTTCTTTGAAGCATTATTCTGCCATGCTAAGCTATCTGCAATATTTGGTGGTAAAGGACAGAAGAAACAAAAAAAATACTTTTGGCTTAACTACCAAATATTGCAGATATGACGTTTTTTATTTAAATGGCAGTTTTTGGTAGGTAGTTAAGGAAAAGAGTATTTTTTTGGGACTACCAATTAAAAATTTCTTATCCTTTTCTACCAAATATTGCAGATAGGACCTTTTTGCTTAGCACAGCAGCATTAATTCTTTATTAGAAGTTTATTTTTGTTATTTTTATTATAATTATGTTTAGTAGGAATGATTAATTATTTTGTTTACTTAAAATATTTTATTAATAAATAAATTAACATTATTGTCCCCATAAATTATTGCCTCCTAACATTATTGTCATATAAGTTACGACAAATCATGTCACGCTTAACTGTTGCTTCTTGAATATGGTTGTATTCGAACAATTCGTTAATATCCACATCCTCGTTATTGTAAACGTCTTGTCTGCCTTCCTGCAGGTACTGTTCCCTAAATAATTCTTCATAATTTAGACAAACATTATGCAAAGTACATGCGGCAAGAACTGTAGAAGGAATCACATCATGACGATTCATATCAAGATATTTTAACCTTCGAAAACGGCCAAATAATAAAGCAAACGCCCTTTCGATTACTTGGCGCGTTTTTGCATGAACTTGATTAAAGTTCCTTTGGGCTTGCGTCAGTCTCCCGCGGTCAATGTATGGGGGAATGCACCATGAAACCACCGGATAAGCCTTGTCACCAATGATAAACTCTTGGTTTGGAAAATATTCTACTGGATTTGCTACCACCTTGGAATACAAATCACTGTTTCGAAAAATTCTGGTGTCACTGACGGAGCCAGGAAACCCCACAAACACGTCAGTAAATTGTAGTTTACAATCACACACCGCTTGGAGGGTAATTGAGTAGTTACATTTACGCGTTATATATACTTCTGGATCTTGCTGGGGCGCTCTTATCGGTATGAAAGTGCCATCAACAGCTCCTATTATATTATCCAAATTAGCAATTAAACGAAATGAATGTCGACTTTCATTTAGTTGATTTTCTGAAGGCCAATGAATGAAAGCATCAGCAATATTGTTTAGTGTTTTCACAACTCTTATAAAAGATACAGACAATGAAGATTTCCCCATATCAAACCGATCTGCCACTAAAAAAAATTTTAACACTATATTAAATGAAATTAGAAAATTATGTACCGGTACGAATCTGGTGTAGCAAGAAGCCAAAGGACTGCAAGCAACTGCTTTTCGGGACTTACCTTTTTAACAAAGCTTCAAATGCTTGCCTCGATAGTCTAAAGTGCTGTTGGAACTGCCGTTTTGAATAATTAGGCAATGTTCTTTCTGTATATAAAACAATTCTGCTATAACTATAGTTTCGAAAAGTTGATATGAATTTTAGATAACTATAAGTCGTTTTTTCGCGTAAATACTATGTAATACTACGGTTAAATAAGTCATGACGTCACAGTTAATTCATATAACCATGGTTGGGTTTCTAACATTTGACATTTGTTTACTTCTTCATAACCTATAATTTTTGAAATGTGTTTATATTTAATTTCTATGCTTTTACCGGTGTAAATAAATTTCTTTGCCTCTTCTTATACCTAGTATATTCTTTTTTATAGGTACTAGTTTTTTCAATACACGTTATCCAATTCTCCTACATGTTTAATACAAAATAAGAAAGAATATACAACAAACCTGCATATAATTCCTCCACTTGTTGAGATTCCACAATATGGAGCACCCTATCATTTATTTTTACTGACAACACCCCGTTTACCATTTTAATACAAAGTTTAAATTCGGTTTAAGAGCAATTGTACCTACTTAAAATATTTTAAATTTCAAATGTAAACAACTTTTTGACAGATCGAAACAGAGAAAAATATATATTAAAAAGAGAACGACTATTAACCACGTTGAATAACTAGCTCAGCGATATAGTTTTATGGTCTGGTATTTGTGACGTCATAGTTAGGATTTTTGAACGCACTCTAAACGCAAAAATGCCTTAACTCTTAACCAAGGTTAAGTTTAATAACCATAGTATTTCATGGTATTTACGCGAAAAAACGACTAAAGTCTGGAGCGCATTTACATTAATTCCGGCGCGCTTCTGGTGGCTAACATGAAACTGGGGTTAAAAGTCAGAAATGACAGATTTCTCATTTTTTGGTTGTTACTGATACCTACCAGGTACGGTCGTGAGCCATTCAAGAGAATATAAAATATCGAAATTTTCTACATAATGATCTTTTCTATATAGATGCAGATAATTAATTAACTAAGTTAAAATTAATTTAATTAAAAAAATCTTGTTTTTTCATATTCTGCAGCTCCAAAGTCAATAATTCCAAAAACATAAAAGTAACGCAGAATTATAGTCACAAGGCTTCCCTTGTTTTAACCGCCTCTGAACGTGAACGTGAATAAAAATTTGGAGATTTGTATCAAATCGTAAATATTTATCTGTAAAGATATTCAAATTATTGTCAAAAAATATCATTAGGAAATCACCCTGTATCGCAAAAAACGGTGAGCATTTGGATGTATGCGTCAACTTTTTAGATTACTTTCGGTCGCTGATAACGTGGTTAAAAAGATAATGTCTATGTATACAGAGGTATAAAATTCCAAACATAAATTAATTTTTTCCCATGTTAATTCAATGGGAAACTAAAATAAAAACAGCGACCTCTTAGAGTTGAGCTGGAACGCCCATATTTGGTGAGGATTTTTTTTATGAGTATGAGTATGAGTGGGAACGTATGGCAAGCCCCAGATATATTATCATCCACTGATCTCCCGGGGTTATATTACCCCCTTTCCGTTCTCCTGCGTATCCCGCCAAATCACAGCATTACCTGTGTTTGTTGGATCCGAAGTTTTTACGCCGGCTGGTAGATCCACCCTAGGAGTTCGTGGATGACAGTGTCAAAGGTTAAGGCAGCTCCCGGGATTTTTGTCAGCCGGGTCGGGCCATACGTCCAGTTTAGGAAGGGTTTTTGGAGGACATTGGACTGACCCAAAACTAAGTACAATCCGGAATCCTCCTCAACCTAGGCCTTAGTAGTATCCCCATTCAATTGGTATTCGTGAATGGGGGTGGGTATGTTAGTTTTTTGCTTACTCCGGCTACCAACCTTGTATATTCTTTATTTATTTTATTGCTATATTAGTGTTCATACCGTTTTCATTTATTTATATCTTTGCCTTCTTACTTATTTTTTTTTTTTTCAAATTAATTTAAAAAAAAATATTAATATACAAAATAGATAAAGCCGGCCCTGTGGTGTATCGCATCAATATTTGAAACCCGGCCCCTATGTCAGGCGTGCAACGCATGCCTCAATAGATGGCCTACCACTTCATTTTCACGTGGGGGCTTTGCCCATTTACTTTCTCCATCCTCCAAGCTTTGCTTGCGTGAGCTTATGTGTATATTATATAATATATATAATACAATAATATAATATTGCGACGCACCCACTTGATTTCCCTTCTCACACGCACGCTGCCCTCTGCAATGGTCAATTGTTGCCTGGTTTCCTGTTAAATTAGTATCTATATAAATTCAATATAAATATCAATTAGTCAATACCAATACTAATACCAAATAATACAAATAATCAATACCAATATCAACCAATCAATCAATTAATCAATATTAACGTTAATATCAGTATCAACCAACTAATAAATCAATATTAATACTAATATCAATATCTATAATGCCAATATCAACATCAACACCAATACCAACAATACACCATCAATACCAATACCAATACGATTATATCCATATCAATCAATCAATTAATTTATTAATTAATTAATTAATCACTTTATGTAAATATCGATCTTCAAACTAGAGCCGGCCCTGTGGTGCATATAGTGGAATGCGGCCTTATGGCCTGCTTGGCTCTTGAGTTCCGTGTATTAGCCTGGCTTGATTTATGAGTGTGACCCTAAATTTATTTATGATAAATTTTTGTCTTCTTGCTTGAATTGGTTTATTTGCTTACGCCTTTTACGCTGGTTGTTTACGTTTGTCTACTATGAGAAAATTAGGTTGTTTATTTAACAGTTACGGAAATGTTCTTATTATTTTTTAAATTTAATTTAATTTAATTTAAGACGAATAGATTTCTTAGATTTTTTGTTGCAACATTGTGAAATGCTTATATAAACATTTAACGATTATACGGTAAGACATGCAATTAGAAGAATTACTTAGCTTGATTATTAGGCTATAAACCTGATGCTTTGTCTTTCGCGGGGTGGCCTTCTCCTGTAGGTTTTTGCATAGAAAAAGGACATTTTTGGAACGCTCCGATCCAGGTGCGCCGGTTGACTTATCGTTGCTGCCCAGCCTCAATTAGGCACTTATTCACTTGCACACTTTTACGGCGTTATCTCACAATTTTCGCACTTGTTTGTTTATTTATGTATTTATTTATTATTCATTAACGATCACCGACATTTCCGGATACTTTGTTTCGTTTTTGGTATTTTACGTTAACAAATTTGTATCGTATACGCCACTTAGGAGGGATCTTGACGCATCCGACCTCTTCGAGCATCAAGACGGTACTGATATTTGGTGAGGATTTTTTTTATATTAAATAAAAACATTTAAGAGGGTAAGAGCGAAAAAAAATTTTTTTGAAGCACCCTAGTGTACAGTGTATTAATTAAAGTAATATAACAACTATATTACGACAATTTTATTTTATTAGTTTTATACATCTAGAACGGTATGGATGTTAAGTGTTTTATTTTTAGTTTGACTAAATGTTAAGTATATTTTAACAAGGATATTTATTTAGTTGTTTAAATGCCTCTTTCCAAGAGAATTTATT